CCCCAAAACCCCAAAACCCCAAAACCCCATAATCCATAATCCATCTGATCTTATATTAATGAAATTAATAAGGTATTAATATATTTTAATGTCTTAGATCATAGTTAAATATTTGCGATGTTAATAGTAATTGCAAGGCATCATCTTTAATTGATGAATCATCTAAATTTCTGAACTCTTTCAAAAGGAGCATCTTCAAATTGACCTATCATTTAATCTTGTATCTCTATAACCTTTGTGATATTATCAGACTCAGACACCGATTCCTAAAGCATTTGATTCATTTTTTCTCTTAGTTTTAAGATCTCCTCATCATCAGAAAGAATATTATTGTTTATTTGATGCAAGCTTTCCTTGCTATCTGGATGAATCTATTCCTCATTTTCATCATCAGCTTCATCTTCTTGATCATTTTCTTCAATCTCTTCATCATAGCTTCCCGAGTCTTCACTGTTTTGCATTTAGAAACTGTTGTGAAAGTCCTTTTCATTTTCAGTGAACATATTCTTATTTTTAATACTACTATTGAATTCCTGTATATTGCTTTCCTGCTCATTAGTCGGTTTATTCATTAATATTTTGTTTGACTCTGTTACTTAGGTCTTTAGCTTTTTCAAGTTTTTAGAATAACTCTGCTCTGACTGAGATATTGAGCTGCTTTCATCAAGACTGTTTTGATTGTTGATATTTGTACTAAACTGAGATTTTCTATGCCCCTTCTTTACCTCCTCAAAAGCATTGTTTGTGTATAGCTGATTACTCATTTGATGATGATGATTCTTATTAATGGGGGGAAGCTTTCGATCACCATATCTTTTATTAATTTGGCTAAAAGGACTTCTATTACTGTATTAATTTCCAAGTTCATTATCGTAATATTCACTAACTGGATTGTTATTAATTCGAGATGACTGCTGTGAAAAAGGATGGACCTCTGAATTCTGATGATCAATTACATGGCTCGTCACGCTTTTATTTACCATACCAGAATTTTGCTAATTATTTATTCTTATCTCAGTTTGAAAGGATAAAATGGTGTCATCAATTAGTTTTTTATTGCCTTGAAAGTCTTTTTATCTCGGGGAATTGTAGGCATAGCTATGTTCATTCTTTAAAAAGAAATCCTAAAGTTCTTTTGAAAATTTATTGTAAACTTCCTTAAAATGATCATGAGTCTCAATAGGATTCAACAGTCTGCAGCTCATTAGGCAGGATTGAATACAAGTAAATCTATTTTCAAGTCTCATAAAATAACATTTTCTCTCAGTTTACACTGGCAAAGTATAATTTGCTGGCACTTACATTGGCTGCTGTATTTTAACAAATGTTCCAAATTTAGAGTCACAATCACTGATATAAACTTTATTATCTCTTAATTTAATAGCTGATTATGATCTGGAAACACTAATATCAGAAATTGTAATATCATTATTGACTCTTCTTCCAATATAGAAATCATTCTTCCTAGAAAAGACAATGACATGGATAGCTTTTGAAAGACAATCAATATCAGAATCTAACACCATGAATTTTTTGTTCTTAGGTTGCTTGTAGTTAAGTAAGTATATTTTCTTAGTCTTATTCTTGAGACTTATATTATCTAAGTAATTATTAAGTACACATAATCTTACTAAGCTAGAGAGCCTCTTTACATAGCTCGCATGCCAGTTCCTCCCAGTAGTATGAATAAACTCCATCTAGTTTTTACTGAATTCTTTTGGAATCAAGCCTACAGTGATAAATTAAATGCAATTATTTACCACTCTCTGAGACAAGAAAGATGTATAAATTTCATAGAACCTGAGCATTTACAAGGAGTGATCAGTGGATTTTCCATTGTATCTATCTCATCCAAGCATATCCTGCAAGCTTTACCAGATTCAAGTTTTTAGAAGCTTTCTCTCACTCCACCTAGTCTTCTGTCTTGGCTTGAATTCACTCCTCCTCTAATAAATTATACTAAACTATGGTACTTTGTGAATCTAATTTTTGGTAGATGTCCTCTTTGATCTTAGAGATTACTTGCAGAGCTATTTTAACCAATACTTTAGACATCACTGAAATCAGGTTGGCTTATCATTTGATCTTGAGAATGGTCAATGTCATTACTTTGATTCACAACTGTCATATTGGTGAAGTCACTTTGATCTTGCAAAGTTATTAAACTGGAATCATATTCTTTAGGAGGTGTCAGTACTAGTTTAGTGATCTTAAAAGGTATCCTTCCCATTCTGATGATGTCACCCTCACTGATTTCTATTTCTCTCTAAAATTTAAATACTAAAATTACTTTTGGCATGTATCGGGGCATCAGCCATATGTTACAGTCATAGGCTTCTGTTTTTTCCACTGGCTTTTGAGGCTACTCAGCAACGTAGTACTGCTTGTCATGATAAATGATATTAAGGAGTCTGTTTGACTTAAATAACTCTAACTCAGCGTTGGTTTCTCCCATATATGATAAATATGGTTTGTCCTGATGCTATGAAGTTCTTCTGATTGAGACATCTAATTAGTCATGATTTGTTAAAACGCCTAAACATATTAAGAATCAATAGTGATTACTTACTAGTACCAATGATGACTCCATTCTTTTTCTAGGTCTTAAAGCCCTCGTGAAAATTAAAGAGTCTATGAGCTAATTCTTTATCCCAATACCATGCATCGACTATTACTCTAAATGATATATCTTATGAATTACTTCTTTTTTATTACTTCTCGTCGCATTACGATAGTTTTTTGTTGGATTTTCTTCTAAAAACCCTGTAATAATTAATATTTTTCTCAAAATAAAATATATTAACTTACAAGGAATGACCCTTCTTTAAATTTGACCTTAATATTATTTTGATTAGACTTTTAATTTGGTAGACTTCTAAATTTCATTTTAAGCCAAAAAAATACTTTTCGAATTCTGAGACGTTTTTCATTCATTTTTTACTTGATTCTAATTTGGCTTGAATCTCTTCATCCATATTGTTTGATCTTTATTGACTTTCAAGCTAAAATGTCTGCTGTGTTTGGTTAGTTTAAGATATATCTCTAGATGAATAATTGACACTAGTGTCATTGTTAGAGGCAATGTATGGTGACTTCGAAGTTTTTTATCTTACCATTATTTAATTACTATTGTCTAATAACATTTTTGGTAATTTCCAAAAATTCTATTCATATTAATTAAGATGGGGTTTTGGGGTTTTGGGGTTTTGGGGTTTTGGGG